TGATCATGAAACTGAAATGAAGTCCCTGTTTGAAATTTCACTTAAATCATAAACTGATTTGCTGACCTTTCCAACTCCAGGCACCATATTTATCCTCTTTACAGCGTAGTTACAGAAGACACTTAAAGGAAGCATCATCAAAATACTGTTACTGCTGTTGCTTGGCAATGATATGACAGTGTCTCAGTGTGGAGGAGAGTCACTTTTTTGCATTTTGCAGGCCCTTATTTTTTAATAATGCATTATCTCTCCAGCCCTGTTACTCCTTCGATGTATATAATTCCATTTTGTTTTCCAAGTTTTCACATGCTCTTCTACTTCAGTTCCTCATCTGAACTTCCTCATCTCTTTCCTCTCTGAAAACTTGGCCTGTTTCTTTCTATTTTAAGACACCCTTCCCCTCTTTGAACAAATTCCTTTCATATCTCTTCAAGAGCCTCCAAGATTTGCTTCTCTACCAAGCCTCTTTTGACATAGAAGAATATTGTCGTACTTGCGCTTGACTATCCATCCTTCCTTCTCATCTGTCTAAATTAATTTCCAGGCTTTCCATTTCCTTTCCCTTTCCTCAAAGGCTAAGTCATATTTGTTGTATCCTCCTTGGCAGTGATAGAACATGGCCTCTTAGCAGGACATAACAGTCCTATTTCAGGGTTATATAATCCAATCTTGAAAGCTTAGCTTAGTCTATAAATAGATAGCTTGTGGCCTGCAGATGCTGTTCCCAGCAACTCCCAAGTAGCATTGATAATGGTGAGATACATTGGGAGTTGTAATTCAACAATATCTGGATGGTTTCTGATTGTTATCAAGTGCAACAATGGAAAGAAGACATTTAATATCCCGTGTGTCATTCAAAAAGTGCTCTTACTACAATGCCAATTGCCCAGATGTCAATATGCTTTCATGCAGTGTGTAACTTGCACACTTGACTATATTTTGTCAACTGGTTTATGATATATGAAAAATAAAAATGATATTTTGAACTATAAATGGAAATTTTACCACATTTCTGTTTAATTTACCATTGTCCATAATGCCATTATGCATTTAACCGGGTTGGCTGTTTCCCTAGTCAAATCTTACCTGTTCTAGTAACAAACTTTTGGGAGTATGGAATATACAATTTGTCAAACTAATGTTATTTTCTCATAAGCCCTTGCACCAGGAAAGTATTGGCAACATTTCAGGATATTACTAATCCTCCTTTATCTGGTGTATGGTAAATTGGGCAGAAAGTTTTCTTTTCAGAGCTGTATACGTACCTTCTAGAATAATCACTAACATTCAATCCTCTACATTGATTTTTTTTCACACATTCTCGTAATAAAACACAAACACGCACTCCTTTTTTTTTTTTATTTCCCCACAATATTAATAGGTTTGAATCAATCCATAATTTGAAATTTGTAACAAGCATAGCCAAGGTAGACAATATGAAATACAGCTGATAAATGAGGATGGATGGACAGATAAAGATGGGTCTGTTTTGGATGTATAATATAAGGGAGGTTTAGAGTGAGAGGATAGTTGGTGGGAGAAGCTCAAGGAGCACTATGTAAAGATATGAGCATGAGCATGACAACTCTTGGACTCTCACTGCCACCATTGATTAGATGTTTTTTGACTGGCATATATCTACACTGACCACTTCTGTTTAGATGCTATGTATATTATCCAAGGATTTGAAACCCTTTCCTTGACATGGGTTGTTTATTATGTAATCATGCACTTTTGCACAATATATCTCTCCCTCCCACTCAGATTGGGTTGCTTTGAAAAAGAAATCTGTTTTGGATGTAATCCAGTTTAGTAACCTAGCAATGCTGGTCCTCCAGTAACCATTGCTTTCCAGCATACAAATGAAACAGGAAAGTCAGCCATCCTGGTCTCTAATCTAACTTCCCCTATTTTTCCTTTTCTTTGAGCTCAGGGAGATCCTTCCATTATACTTGAGTCCTACTTGCAATTGTATTTGAAGCCATGGCAACAACCGAGGCTAACTTTTCCAGCACTGATGATTTCACTCCATCCTCCCCTGGCCCCTGTTCATTCTCTCACCGTGCAGATATTATCCTTTAGCTAATTGCTTATGAAGGATGCTTTCCCTTCAACTAATGCTCATTAGTTTTACATTCTATGACGACTCTTCCTTGAGACAGCTCTTAGGACACAAAGAAGACAGAGAGGGAAATGCTTACTGTTCTCTAACACCTTTTCTACTCTGGGTATTTGGGGAATCTTGGTTCCAGGCAAGTTCCCAAGAGGTGCCCTAATGGTGTAACCTCTATTGCTAGGGCATAGGGCTCAAGAGTCCTGGAAGGTGCCAGATTCACAGCCTACGCCATGAGATGCACAAGAGTTGTAGAAGATGGCAGGAAGCTGGTAGTATAGGATGTGACAGAATTGCATAGATCACAAGCGATCCCCCCCAAGCTCCAGGCAATCACTGGAGAGGGGGCTTTTTTTTCTTCTGGAAGGATGGTTACCTTGGATTAGAATCCACTTCCACTTCCCTCCATATCTTCCACAAAAATAGAATGCTTCTGCAGATTCCTTCTTAGACGCTGAAGTAACAGGTTGCCTCTGCAAGGGCTCACGCGATCTTTTCTTTCTTTGCCTGCCTTGTTGATGTCTATCTCTTTTAGGCTGTTGCTCTCTTTGAGGTGAGAATAAGAGGTGGAGAAGGCTGTGTCAGAGCCATCCAGCATCAGGCACTGGCAAGGGTCAGTGCTTACTATGAAAGCATCATCCCAGATGTTCTCACACAGCTCCTTGCCATCCTTATACATCTAAGGGGAAAAAAGAGGCCCGTGTTACAAAAAAAAAAAAAAGTCTTCCTTGGGAGGTACTCCTCAAACCCTATTCAGGTTGGAAAGCAACTGGAATAGAAGTTTAGAAACTTAGGAATATAAAAAGTATTGCAGTCTTCCCCCCCAAAAGGCATGATGCAAAGAACCTGAGCAGTCTAACAGGATTTGTTTTCTAAAAATGAGAACCATTGCTATTTAACTTTTTCAGGAAGTCATGTTCCTGTCCCTAATGGTGATTGTTCTATTCCTTGTGTAGAATATAACTCATATTTCTATGTGGGAATACTATGATAGGCTTCATAATATTAAAGACACTTCATTTATTAATGTTGCCCAGATACTTTTATGGTTAAAAAAGGGTTAAAAGTGGCAGGTGAATCCATAAAATGGCCATCAGCTACCACCACTTTCTAACAAAAGTATATTTCCTATCAGCTTCAAGACAAGCCACCATCATCCTTTGCCTGCATTTCAATTTCAGTATACAAGTTACATGTTATTGAAAGAGACAATCCAATCATTTTTAGTGAGAGGTTAGTAGAAAATAATGGACAATTCTTGCTTTTTTCAATCACTATATTTCATGGTAAATAACCCTTGTCTATCAGTAACTATTCGAGTCCTGTATATATGTTTATAACCAAAGATCAAACTGTTGCTTTCTAAGTTCCACAATATTTCAAGAAAACAAACACAATTGTGGCAAGGAGTTAGCAAAGATAAGGGAGCTGTTACTGCTACAAAAGCTTTAACTTTCAGATATTTTTCATTTGAATTTGCCAGTTGCAGATTTTTCAGTCACAAACACCATTAGTATTCATAGAAAGCTAATTTTATATAAACTAACAGTATGTAATGAGTTCATGAAGACCATTGGGAAATGGCAGGATGTAGGAAACAAAAAACCTACAAGGAAAAAAACATTTATCTATAAACATTTGGCTATATCTGGCATTTTTTTCTTTCCATTTCCTATTCCTATCCCTACCCTCTGACAATACTTTTCTTTGATTTTTTTTCTTGAGTGTTAGAAATCATTCAGATTTGAGGAAAAGCAAGGCTTGCTATAAAAGTCACATGAGTTAAACTCAAATTGTTCTGGGCATGTGTTCTTAACACTGAAAACTTTGGATTGTTTTTTAGTGTAATTGGTGCCTTCCAGGAAAATGCAGTTCCTGTTTTTCTCCCCACTTTCTAGTTACTCTTCTCAAACATGCTTCAGTTTCGGAAGCCACAGCCTACGCATCATTTTCAGGCCCTGTATAAACATATGCCATATGTTCCCTCACATAAACATACTATGATCTCATCCAATGCATACACATTTTAAAAAACATTGGTCTGAATTCTGAAATTAGGTTTTTTTGTATTTCTGAAACTCCTGTACTCCATATGTGAAGATATCTGTACTTTTAACCCCTTCCCCTCTGAAGGGGCAAACTGTTCAGCTGAAAGAGATTAATCACCCAAAGTAGCTTTAATTAGATTGTATGTATATGTGCATGTTTGTCTGTTTGTTCTGGTCCAATTTGTCTTTTGCCTTGGTTTTGCCTACTTTTGGGAATGTTGTCTCCAACAAAGTGGCCCTTGGCACAGACACCTTTATGCTGTAGCAAGAAACAGAAGGACGGTTCTGCTTGTGGCTAAGCAGCACCTTTAGTGTCCTCACCTGGCCAAAGGAATGGCATTCCTGACTACAGTTACGTCCGTCAGCTCCCCAGGGCCGGTTGCCAGGGCAGGTCAGATCCTCTCTGCAAGCGTCGTACCTGAGGGGACAATAAGTTTGAGTGATATGAAAGACAGCTCATTGGCATTTGACTCAATACCAATAGACCCAAATTCACTCAGTGAGACTTATGATAAGAATTTGAATTTGAAACTCCCCAGAGTAAGCCCCTACCCTTTTCAATTTAGGGGAGAACCTCAGATTTTTATATTAAACCAAAAAAAGCTGACATTCTTTCACTTGCTGGGTTAATTTTTACACTAGTTGCTAGTAGCTTCTCTGCCCTTCTCTGAACACCCTACCCCACAGATTTATTCATTTTTAAAATAATATACTTTATCACAAAATAATAAAAGCAAAAGGATGGGAATGTTCTCCAAGCAACATTTGTATTCCCTTGCTACCCAAGTCAAATTTCTAAACCTAAATCCTTCCTTTTGCCTGATGTTAATTTTCCTGAATGGAATCACTTAATCTTGTCAGGAAATTTTTTTTAAAATTTTAAAAATATTATTCCCCTAATAGCAAGGTTGAACCAATAGAGAATAGGACACTAGTTTTCTCAAATATTCAGTAATTTAAAATGACTACATCAGATTAGTATATGTTTGCTTTGTAGATGGTAGCAAAGGCCTATGCTGCCATCTAGTGCTTATCCAGATTTTTGCACCCCAATCATGGTAATCCTAAATAGGTAAAGGTAAAGGTTCCCCTTGCACACACATGCGAATCGTTTCCAGCTCTAGGGGGCAGTGCTCATCTCCATTACAAAGCCGAAGAGCCAGCACTATCTGAAGACGTCTCCATGGTCATGTGGCCAGCCTGACTAAATGCCAAAGGTGCACGGAACGCTGTTACCTTCCCACCAAAGTGGTCCCTATTTTTCTACTTGCATTTTTACATGCTTTCGAACTGTTAGGTTGGCGGAAGCTGGGACAAGTAACGGGAACTCACTCCGTTACGGGGTGCTAGGGATTTGAACCACCGAACTGCCTAAATAAATCCTAATAACACTTCTATAAATAATGGCCTTAAATATATGTGTCTCTTCAGAAATATGGGCTCTTCTTTTCAGATAACAGGTAAAGGATCACGGTTCTATTTAGCCCGATGTACATATGTATGCTTTCAATCACGACAACAGAGCTATTTGTTAAGTTTCTCTTGTGTCTTCTACCTTCAACAGGTACTGTACTTAATTCTTCCTCCCTAGCAGGTCTTCTTCTAGATGTGAAGACGTGATAACTTACCACTGGTCACAGAAATTCTGGCAGAGAGGTACAGCCATCAGGGCTGTGGGTTGTTCAGGGTGAGGCCATTGAGCAGCAATGGGGGAGCAGTGGTAAAAACAGTCCAATTGCTGAAGGTACTCCTCACACCTGCCAAAATGAATGAAACAACAGCAAGCTTAAATATTTGACCCTAAAATGCAGGGGAGAAAAGTAAGGCAGGCATCAGTCCCGTCCCCCCCGCGTTCTTGGTATTTAGTGATCGGAAAGGCTGGCAGAGGAAAGGTCATGAGACAGGACCCAGCTTCACAAGCCATAGGGGCCCATGGCTGGCATAGGTGGGATCCCCTTCTTTTCAGAAGAGCAGCCTTGGGGATGACCTGATGCTGAGGCTTCCACAACGATTCCAAGATCCAGCACCGACTTTGGAAAGTTCCTGGGCAACTTCTGCTGAGCAACAGGCATCTATGGAAAGAAATCTTCTGTCATTATCTCTATGCCTTGGGGTTGAGAATAGCTATAGTATTAGTCTACTGAAAACTACCCCTCCAACAATTGCAGTCCAGACCAAGGAAGATGTATGCCAGATGAACCCAATCAAAATCTGGTTATAGACTCTCAGCAAGACAAAAGTTGTGTGTGTGTATGTGTGTGTATGTGTGTATGTATATTATTTTGACTTATCTTGTTTTCAGGATTTTAATTGTAAGGCACCCAGTTGCTTTGGTGTGAAGGGCCTTGAAATCACCACCACCATCATCACCATCTATATTATGGATATTTTATACCCCCTCATCCTACCATACTCTCATTTTCTCTCTCTGTTACATAATTCTACAAGTTTCTATAGAGAAGCCATACTTACTTTCTGCATAAATCTGGCAGATGCCCAACTCTTCTTTTGCGCTTGGATTGATGTTGTGCTTCCCTCCAGATAAGCAGTGATCTTCTGTATCCTTTGCATTGACCCAAAACATGGTCAGTGCCAAAGCCATCACCATTATCCAATTGGTATTGCCACCACCTCTCATGACTGGAATATCAAGGGCAGAGGAAACGGAAAAAATGAATCTGTGGAGAGGCTTACTTCTCTGTTTTCAAGCATGCTAGCCAGCCAATCAGGTTATAGGAGATGGGTCCCCATGGCCCAGGTATATCTTTCCCCCAGTAATGCCCTGGATACATTGTACTTTCATCTCTGCCCAACAATTCCCTGAATCCTGCTTCTTTCTTGATAAGCTACTAAGATGCTGCAATTGCATTATTCCTATTGTTCATCTCTAGCTGTGGTCTACTTTCCTTGCTAGGTAATTCAAGGCAGCCAACTGTAGGCAATTCTACAGCACCCAGATGATGGCTAGCTGTCATGACAAACACCAGCAGCTCCCTTCTTTAAGAGAAGATATTCTTAAGAAAAATGTGAATGCTTCCCTCTTCATGGAGAAATTAAGAAATGTGCAAGCAAATAGCTCATTTATGTAAACAAGCATGCAACGGGGAAGGACACACTTCCAGGAAAGATTTATACGAACGAGGTGGGCAAAGAAAAAGAGGGTTGTGGTTTTCACCCCAGTTCAGCCTGCAGGAATTTTCCAGGGATTACCAGGCTGTGGAAAGTGCCAATTGGTTTATGACAAGACATAAAAGTCACTGCTGAGGAATGTAACTACATGGGATGTCACAAGCAATGTGTGGAGAGGTGTCCCTGTTATAAATCTGCCCCCTGAACTAGAGGGCAATTTGGCCTTGCAATGATATTTTGCTTAAATGAACACCTTCTCGGTTGCATTTGCTATTGGCTGTAAACCTCACCTTCAGGGATAGATTAAATATGGAGAGAAAGGACAATTTTTTACCAGAAGAACCCAAGGAAGGTTTGATCCATCTGAGGAATAGAATATTAATATGGGAGTGTTGAAAACTTGGCCACTTGAGACTACACCTCACATCTCTTTCATTTTTATTTTCCTTGCTTCTTTGGGTTGAAAAACGTTCCTTCAGATGCTTAGTAATCATTCTTCTTTCCCCTCGTGGAATGGGGAAAAAAAAAACCCATCGAAATGAAACACAGATGAAAGGGAGGTAGTTATGGTCAGTCAAAAAGCCTGAAGCTGATGGCGTGATGAAAAAAACCAGCTTTGGGACCTGAGGCTGATGGCGTGTCATTGCAGAGGTGTATCAGCACCACTAAGCCAGCCTGTCTGTCTCCTGAAGCTCAGCGTGCATTACCACCTATGGACACACACGTCTTGTGTCTGTCAATTCTGTCTAAGCCTCATCTGTGGAAAGATGTGGGCTTTAATTAATGTTTGCAAAGTGTTCTGATAAGCCTGAAGATAGCATTGCAGTAGAATTGTGCGGCGGGGGGGGGGGGGGGGGGAGGGGATAGCACCAGAGACAGAGAAACAGCAGAGACATAAGATGCTTAACAGACAATATAAAGCCCATCACATCTTAACGCCTGCTTCCTGATGCAGCTTGTACACCTTCTTTCAAATTTGGCTGTTTATTTTTGTTTTATTGCATTTATAAAATATTACCAGTACAACAAAAATATAAATGTCAAATTTGATATATTTAAAGGGTAACAGTTACAAATACCCTACGTAATATGCAATTAGAGAAGAAAAAAAATTCATGGTAATATGTAATTGCAAAGAAAGTCAGTGTAAACTTTGACAAAATATCCATCCATCCATCCATGCTCCACTGTTGTATGCCAAATGTCAACTTAATTTTCCAATGTTGCAACTTAGTTCTTTGACAATCCCTGCCCACTCTAGAAATATTAGTCATATGAGTAATCGAGTTCATAAAGTCCAAAATATTGGGGACCTCGACACTGTGCATTTTGCACATTCAGAAATCACTTTGTTTCCTAGCATGTTATCTTTCTTCTGTCCCCTGTGAAATTCCGCATATACTTCCTGCAATTGCGGGTCCTGAAAAGTAATGAGCCTTTGTTAAAAATGATAGAAATAAAACCGAAGTCTCCCCACTTCCAAGTTATAGATTCCAAACATTGTCTACAGAGGATTTTCGTTTTCTACAGAGGGGAACATACATTGGTGAACGAAAAACATTTGATCCATACTTCCTGCAGCTTTTGTTGTTAGGTCCTTGAGGGTAAAATCTCACAACAGCAACTATTTTCAAGGCAAGGTGTCTCTCTACCCCATCCTTTCTTTTGTGATATCAAATTTTGGTGAGGCAGCCCATGAAATATGAGTCTAGATTTCCAGTTCCCTAGAAACAGTGTCACCTTAAGTAATAGGATGCAGAAATTTGACAAGAAATCTTTGTTTCAAAGCAATGGATAATGAATAAAATCAGCTTCCTAATGCCTCCTAGCTAAGATATGGCTAAGACAAAATGATCTGATTTCCTCATATTAAACTATTGCTTTTTAAATCAGTTGATGAATAAACATAACTGGTTATGTTTAAGCACTATGCTAAGCCAAAATCAATAAAATTATTTTTTGGCCAGATTTGCTTATTATAGTATGCTATGAGTTCTCAGATATACTTTTTGATTAAAACACAATATATGGGGTTTATCCAGCACTCTAGATAAAAAAATCATGGTTTACAAACTTCAATTTTATTTACTTTTAAATTTTACATGTTACCTTTAAAACCAAGGGTTTCCCCCACCCCCAAATAATTGGTTATTATGCCAAGAGTGAAATGCTTAATTTTCATCAGCTTAGCTCAAGCAGGATCTACATAATATCTCCTTTAGTATTAAAGAAATTTTAGTGATAGGTACCTGCAGCCAATTCAAAGTTCTATGATAGCATTCATGGTGCTACTAAAAGTAAAACACGAATACAGGTAATCCTCAACTTCCTTTAGTGACCATTCAAAGTTACAAAGGTGTTGAAAAAAGAGATTTATGACCATTTTTCACACAACATCGCCTCCCTATAATCATGTGATCAAAATTCCGACACTTGGCAACTGGTTCATATTAATGAATCCCAGAGTCATGTGATCCTCTTTTACAACCTTCTGATGAGCGAAGTCAACGGAGAAACTAATTCACTTAACAACCATGTTCCGAAATTGAGCAACTGCAGAGGTTCACTTAACAATGGTGACAAGAAAGGTCGTAAAATGTGGCAAAACTCACTTAACAAATGTTTCATTTAGCAACATAAATTTTGGGCTCAACTGTGGTTGTAAGTCGAGAACTGCCTGTATATAAGTTGTCAGTAGTCTAATTTATCTCATGTTTTGTTAGGGCGCTTGCAATTCTAGTATTAAATACCATGAGAACTGAAAAAGAATATAGATGCAGTGTGTGGAATATTAATGGTGGCACTAAGACAGAAGAAACTACGTCGCAGGATATGAAACTGGAGAAACACAGCAGCCTGTGGAGATAAATACCTAATTTCAACCAAACCCCAACTGATTAGCTGTCTGGGAAAGGAGAATGAATTGTGTTTCCTGTGGTTTCTCCCAAACTTTCCAGGAGGACAAGATTAATGGGAATGGGAATTGTGTCATGATGTCGGGGATCTTTTCCTCCCAGATGCATCAATAAAGCTTTGACATTCAATGAAATGAAAAATGAAAAAAAATATGGCACTGCTTTGAAAAACCATGGGCGGGAGAACCATCAGTGCAGAATCATCCTATCTGCATTTATTACTCCAAAGTTTTGGTCACATCTCTGTTTCAGCTGTCATTAATAACCGTGTGCTTCCATGTCAAGCCCTGTCTCATAAATCTTATTTCATAAAATACAAATTACAGGCTGGTTTGATGCTCAGAAGTATTTGTCAGTATTTCCCCCTCTCTGCTGCAAAAGGTGGCAGCGCTTAATTGAACTTGTCTGGGTTCAAAAGCTAAGCAGGGTCAGACCTGGCTAGTACATGGATGGGAGACTATCAGGAAATTTCAGGGCTGTAGATTAAAAGATATCTTGGAGGAAGGCAACAACAAACCATTTTTCATGCTGCTGCCAAGAAATGTAATGCACGTCTATAAATCCCCAGGAGCCAAGCTTAACTCAAAGGACATATTACCTTTAATACAACACACACATATACAGTACGCAGGTCACCATAAAGAAGAATGATAGTTCTTCCTGTCATGCATGGTCATGTGCATACAAAGGGGAGGGAAGTAATACAATGTGTTATGTACAAATTTCATCTCTTAGTACTTACACAAAAAGGCAGAATTTGGATTATGATGGTATGACATGTTTCCACCTTTGCCTGTTATCAAGGCTAGCTGCAGAAACCTCTGCCTCTTCCTTATTCCCCTCCCACCACCTCTGGATTGCTTGAAAAGACTAAGCCACAATTCCAATTTCAGATGATAAATTAAACAAAGCATGACTGGTGTCATCTGTACCATCTTAGCTGGCCTGCTTGTGGAAGATCAGTAAGGGTTTGTCAATAACCTATAATGTGGCATCAGATAATGAAAACAGCCAGGAACTTTCCAAGTAGCCATGGATTTGGCTATGAATCCAGTTCTTTGGAGTCTACTTCAGCAAGTTTCCTTTGGTTTCTAATTTTTATGGTCTCCCCATTTGATTGTAAGCAATCCCAGTTCCAGACTCTTTCTTGAAATCTCAAAGACCTGGAATAGGAATATTTGTCTAACCTCACTTTACATGCATGCTTCCTTTTTCATCCTATGCAAACATAACTTGCTTTCCCTTATGGTATTTTTCGTGACTCCAGTAGTCCCGTAAACTGGAAAGGTAGGAGACCTGCTGTTTGAAAATAAATAATGGCATCCTAGTTTATAAGACTAGTTTTGCTAGCCTGAATGAATTCAAATTTGAAGCGATTGTCATCCTAAGAGTTGGAGGCAACCCCTCCATTGCTTCTGCACCCAATAAGATCCACTTTAGAGCTAAATAGCTAAATTTTTATGGAGGGATATTCTCTATGCCTAGGAGCACGAAGGGGTCATCCATTATTAAACCTCCCTTTCTTGGCTGACATTGAACAGTGACTCTCCCATGGCTTTATTATGAACCATCCTTTTATTCCCTGGCACACAGCCTGGAAAATACTGATGGCCTCAATCCCAACACAGATTAGGGACAAGTTTCACTGAGCAACTGTCATTCTTGTGGCTGCAATTATGGTGATCAGTTTCTCCAGTGGTCACAGTGGAGCACAAGAAGGCAACCCTTAGAAGTAAAAAGTTCTATGAACACATGTCAAGGATATTAGGCTTCCTTGCTCATTTTTTGTTTTATGAACAAGTCTGATTTGCAAGACATCTTCAAGAAACCAGCCAAAAACATATCAGGTCAGATTAGAATTAACAGGATTCCATCCATATAGCTTTTAAAAGAGCATCTTACTTGGGATTTTATTTAAATCAAAGCTGACCTCCAGAATTTAGTGTGTATATTTGTGCGGGGGCAAGGGGTTGTTTTAAATTAGAGGAAAAGATTTCATAAAGTGCTTTTCCTGATTATGTATCCATAATATTTTAGTAGGCTTATGGACAAAAATCCCGGCATTTTAATTTTCTTATTTTAGCAGACAGATATGCAAGGAATCGATGGATATGGGGTTATGCTTTTCTCCTTCTCAAGATAAATGCTTATGGTTTCACTCAAATTATAATTCAACCCTACACCATGTGTACGTAGCAACTCACTTTTCAAGTTTCAGGAACCCAAAAATCTTTGCCAATATATTCTATAGATAACACTGATTTGCACATGGAAAATAAAATACACACAAAAATAAACTTTCTTTAGAATCTGTAACTATAAGCATCATTTTCTGAAAAGAAGTCTCATGAAGTTCAAAAGAATTTCTCTCCCAACCACTGGGTATATATGATTGCATTCTTACTAAACTACCATCTATTGATTTAAGAGTCCGCAAACATGCAGAATGAATTAAGAATGGGTGCTTACTTTAAAGTCTGCCCTATTCCTTAGAGCAATTTTCACAAAATAACAAGTAACAAGTTCTTTATTCATTTCGTATTTGCCTGCTTTCTTAATCTTAATCCTCTTAATCTAAAATTTATTAGAAATTAACTCAGTAAACTTTGCTTATTTGGGGCTCGTGCTGTTCAACACAATAGTTCATTAATAAACTATGTGCCTTTCTCTCCCTATAGGGTCCCCCCCCCATCTGTCTGTCTGTCTGTCTGTTTCTCTCTCACACATACAGAGTCACACACACATACTTCTAAAAAATTGAAGCAAACTCTTGTGCTTTTGAGTACAATCTTATTTATCTACATAGATGTAGTATGCATAAACTCCAACTGAATACCCTTTTCTGGTTTGAGTTTACCCTATTGCAGAAGTCTCCATAACCATCATAGAGTTCCATATTTACTTTAGGATGCAGGTTATATTAAAACTGCTGCCAACAAAGACCTGTTTAAAAATTATGATTAATTTCATTTATTCATAAGTTTAACTGTTCATAAACTCCACTATGCACAATTTAAAGGGGGAGAGGGAGGGGAGGGGAGGCTATGTTGCACAGCCTGTCTAGTGAAGTGACACTCCCCACACACCACAATCCCCAGATCGGGAGGGTCCCATCCATCTGGGCTTTCAGAAGATTGTGAAGACCTGTGTTTTTTTTTTTCTCCTAGGCATTGGGCAAGAATATAGAGTCAGCCCAATATAGGCATGGTGTGTGTGATAGAGTTTATGGTGCCTGGTGATCTTATTATGACTGTTTTGATAGGGTGTCATTTGCTGGAGTTGAACAAATCTCCTTAGAGGTTTATTTATATTGTCTTTGTTGTTTGTTTTTAGCTGCCCAGTGTTCATATACAGGTGGTCATATAAAATGTCTAGTAGCTCAATAAACAAAAGATAAACTTTATGGCCATTCAGTTGAGGTGGGTGGTTCCAATTTGGAATAGTGGATGACCCCTCTTGTCACTCATAAGAGTTTTTGAAGAAGTGTCCTATATTTCAGGATTTAAAAAACAAATTTTTTTCAATAGTCTATGATAATGAATCCCCTGAATTAAACTGCAGCCCAACATTTAATCTTAGATACCTCGGTGCACCGATACCGAATGAATGAATGCATTTGGTATGACACCCATACTTTACAAACCTAGCAGGTTTCCATGCGTTATGCCAATGAGGGGTTCCCTCTTATCCTTGGTTATAATTTTGCAATGCCACGATTTTAATTGCATTCGAATGCCAACCCCCACCTCCCCACCCCCCAATGCATCCAAAGCTATTTTAAATTAAAATTAGGTCGGTAAGAAAAAATCACACCCCTCCTCATACCGAGGGAAGAAAGACCGAGCAAGAGTTTCTCCTTTGCCCTGAAATCTTTTGAGACTAAACTAAAATGGATACCTGAAGAATCTCTCTCTGTGTGTCTCTGTCTCTTATTTATTTATTTTGTCAAGCGATTATAAGAGGTATAAGTATAAACATAGTTATGAATATATGAAATGGATACATATAAGAAAAATAAAACAGAAACAATAGGACAGGGATGGTAGGCACGTTGGTGCGCTTATGCACTCTCTCTCTCTCTCTCTCCCTCCCTCCCTCCCTCCCTTTGTCTCCCTCTCTCTTTCTCTCTTTTCCTTCCGAAAAATCGATTCGGCAAATAGCACCCCGGTCTCTCCTCAGTAGCCTTCAGATGTGAATTGAAGCCGCACTGCAGCCGCACGTTAATTTACAGGCGCCTCTACTTTCAGCAACCCCATCCAGGCTCCGGTGGGCGCGGAGTGGGGTGGGGGTGCCTGCAGAGAATCGAGAGTTAACTTTTCAGCAACCCCCCCCCCCCCTCCTATCCCGCGATCCAAACCGAGCTGACTTCTCCGCATCCCGAGTAGCTTCCCCCACCCACCCCGCGCTCCGCATCCACTTCTCCCGGCTTTCGCTTTCTTGCGCCCCTTTCCTGGGCCATCTGTGGGGTTACGTTGCATGCGGGGGGAGGAGGACGCGGGGGCGACGATCGCCTCCCTGTTCTCGACTCCGGACGGGCTTCGCAGTTGTGATCCGGCAGGGCAACCCCGTTCCGCGGGACGCCTTACCTGGAAGCCGCGCGAGCCGCCTGCCCGATCCGAAGGCTGTCGCCTCGTTTCCCTGGGCGAGAGTTTCGCCCGAACGAGCCCCCGATCTCCCGGTTCTGATCCGGAGGAGCTGCGTCGCCGCCGCCGCCGCTGCTCTTCTTCACCGCGCTCTGCTTTGAAGCAAAGAAGCCGAACTGCCGCCGCCGCCGCTGCGGCAATATACCAACCCTCTCCCCCGCCCCCCGCCCCACCTCCGCCCCCCTGGCTCTCACTCGCCTGTCCCAATCGCCGCCAGACGCCCGCCCGTCAGCTCTCGGGCAGGTTCCCCAAGGCGGCACCTGGTTGGGTAAAGGAGAAAACACTTTCTCCGCCGAGGACTTTCGAGGCAGGGCGTCTGGCCCGGGCTCCACGCGCTGTTCCCAAAGCAAGTCTCTTATCCTCAGCAGGAGGAGGAGGAGGAATGACTTTTGCCATTCAGATGAACAGCCACCGGTAGATGAAGTTATCTAATGTTTCAAAAAGTAGTAATTGGGTTTAACCATCCCCGGTACTTCTTGTGGCAATGCGTTCCGAAAGACCTCACAAATCGCTCGCCTGGATCTACTGCCTCACTTGAAGTAATCGGGAAAGAAGAAAGTTATTTTATTGCATAAGCAGATTGCATTTGATCTCTGTTTAAGATGTTTCTTTCTGCTACTAAAATGGGAGGATCAACAGAATTAACTGCATGAAATTAACTTATACAATCTGTCATCTATCTCTATCTATCTATCTATCTATCTATCTATCTATCTATCTATCTATCTATCTATCTATCTATCTACCAATATAGATCTATCTATCTATCTATCTATCTATCTATCTATCTATCTATCTATCTATCTATCTATCTATCTATCATCTATCTATCTATCTATCTTCTATCTGTCTCTCACACCATACAGTTCTAGGTGTTTTGCAATGCACATTCAACAGAACCACATGAAATTAATTTATTGGTTTATGCAGCTCTTCAGATAGAGAGCCACTATTTTTATTTTGTCCATCAGTAATTTGGAACTCTGAGCCTTCACAGTATGATCCTCTTTTTAAAATGCGAGGCGCAGCTTTCACCAGCAAGAAATTCTGCCAGACTGGCCTTTGGTCTGAGCCAGCAGGGAACATCACACATTCTGATGCAGTTCAGCTACTGGAAATAGGAGATTCGGCTTTATGAACCCTGTTGAGTTCTGACTCAGCCATCATCAGAGGCTGACATAGCTCTGTCATGTTTTTAAGTTGCTGATCCAGCTGAAAAATAAATAAATAAGGACTCACGTCTAATATAGTTCAAACCATTTCACAAGACATATATGTAAGCGGGCTGTTATCCACAACAGCTTAACCCCTAATAAAAATGAGTCTTTAAGATGTGGCCAACAGCCCCAAGCTCAGCATAGGTGCCTGGCATTCAGCACCACGTTTCTTACTGCCTGCATAATTAATGATAATACTTATGGTTCACAGGGCTGAATGAAAAAGAATATAGTGCATTTAAAAAGCAAAATACAAACAGTAAATTCCATTTAAAGAATCACCTTATCTTCACTGTCTGCAGTGGAGAGCTAATTTTACTGCTTTAAAGTAAATAGGCTTGACTCCTACTGACTCCTAGTGACCTCATGGATGCATTCATGGATGCTTCTTGGCCCCAACCTGAAAAAAAAAATGCAGTTTTTTTCTGGGATGTTTATTAGACTACCTCCTTGGGCTTTGCTCTAAGTCTCTCATTCACATACATTATACATTCAGCACCAGCCCTGCTTAGTTTGTCAAGATAATGGGAATTTAACAGCACAGCTGCCATTACATCAGTGTCCTTCCTTTGCCAGATTCTAGGTGGGTGCATTGACAGCCATGCCACAAGAAACCATTCAACCACCCAGGATGTCTGGGTGAGGAATGGTGAGCCAGATGACTCTGAATGAGAAAAGATGATGCCAAGGCCACAACCAAAGATTAGTAGATCAGTCACACATAACCTCTCTGGATAAGGAGAGGACAGGGGATCACGCACATGCAGGGCTGGTCCTCACAAAGAGCAATCCGGATAGTGGTTTCCCATGGGGCTGAATGGCAGAGATGAAGAAAAGTCATGACACTCGCAACTATGACACACAACCTTTGGGTTTGCTAACCTCACTTTTTAATCACATTTTTAAAAAATGACCTTTTAAGCTGTCTGAAGGCTAACAGAAATATTCAAAACAACAAGTTTGCAAAGCCAGATGATGAGTTTAGCATAGTTCCAGAATTAAAGAAAAATTAAATATAATCATTAGAATTTGAAACAAATTATAAAAAGCTAAATCAGACTTTAATTCAATTCAAATAAACCATTTATGACAAATAGACAAAGAAACAGTACCTCCATGAAAACTAAATTGTTCAGTTTAACTTAATTTGTAACAGACATTTTAGATTTTGTAATTTCAGAAATTGGACGCTATAGGGGACTAATATTTCCAGGCATAAAAATTAAAAGAAAAAAAGGCAAAGAGGGAGGGGGGGATTCTCCTTTGTCTTTGGGAATGTTTATTACACTACTTTAGAAGTCAAAAAGGTTGGTTGCCTTTGAGACAAACTCAAATCCTGATGACATCCATACAGGTTTCCTGGCATGATACAAAACGGTTTGCCTTTGCATTTTTGGAGGCTTCTGAATTTAACTTACAGCTCCAGAAGATAGTATCAATATTGAAACTGTTCTTCAACATTGGAAAAGTGGGCTGAAAATTATCTTTAATACCAATACAATACAAATACATGTATTACAAATACACGTACAGTCCTTTATATAAGAGAAAAAAGTAAGGGAAAATCCCACCCAGTTTACAAGATCACTTACAAAAGGGATGTTGAATTTGTAATTATGTAATAAATTACAAAGTATACATGGGCTCCTCCCCACCCACCCCCGTTTTGCACCTAACCAAGATGTAAATGTGTCCTAGAATAATTTTTTTTTCCTGCTAATCCACAAGGAATCTTCATTTGGTCCCTTAACGCACAGATGAGAATGTCTGAAGTGTTTTTAACTGGATCAGGTTGAAAGTAATGTTTCCATCCTTGAGCCAATGTATGCAATGGCAAAGGCAAACTCGTTATGCTTTAGTTGATGTGGTTCATGTTCAGATTCATGTAACAAAGACAAAACTGAACAAACCCTTTACAATACTAGGGAAGACACTTAGTGGTTCTGCACACTATGATGAGCTAATGTTTATTTAATAATGGATTAAAACATTACAAATGGTATGTCCCATACTAGATGTGATTTGAATTAATATTTCAAAGACTTTTGGCTGTGTGAATCAAGCTAATTGTGGCTTGTTATACTACTGTTAAATCATGGGTTAGCAAGATGTATGACTCCTATCTTATATTTAGCCATCAATTAATATCAGCTTCTGATGATTATACAGATATATGTAGAATAACTAGTCTTACATGAGATTAGGTGGGTGCAATACCTAAGGCCAAGTTCATAAATTAAGACAAGCTATTGTAAGTTGTTTGAGTTCACATAATGTATTTAAACCAAATCAAGAAACTAGTGTGGGAATAGAGCCAGCTGTGGTTTGTTCATTAAGTAAAATATATTTATTTAATTATTTATCATTCCTTCAGAAACTCAAGAGGGCATATTTAGTGCACTCTCCTCCTATTTGTCCCCTCAAGAAAAACCACCATGAAAATGGCGGGTGGTGGTGGTGCTGAGAGAACGATTAAAGAATTATTACAGTATTCCAAAGTCCCTAACATGGTTCCATAGCTGAGGGAAGTCTTTTTGCTTTGACCCTGACACCATACTCCCTTAGTGGTCCCCCATCTTATGTGAGTCACATAAGCTCTTAAGAGATAATATGCTTTGCTTAATTTCAGTTACCATATTGTACGATCTTAGTCCATTGATGTGTGAGCTGAAAATTTAGCATGCTGTGTAAATTTGGTTTATGTAGCAAACCACAGTTAACCCAATTATGGCTTAATGTAGTATGAGAATTATGTTATTTTATGCAGATAATAAATTTATGTTACTAATATTTTATTCCTTTCTATTGTAGGAAGTTAGCATCCACACCTCTCCTAGAAAATTGAAATATCCTAGGAAATATTAAAAAAGGCAGAGTATTTCCCCTAAAAAGAGTAGAAACTCAGAAGCAGAAACTCACCACAGAAGTAGAAGCTCCCCCCCCACCTTTGTTAATGGGTGGGCCATTAAGGCCTGGGCCAGAATACTTTACATAACAAAGATCTCCAGGTAAAGCTATAGCAATTCTAGGACCAACTCTCTTCATACTCTACATAAATGACCTCTGTGATCATATTAAGAGCAATTGCTTTCTTTTCGCTGATGATGTAAAGCTGTTCAATACCACAGACAATACTGCTACCCTACAAAAAGATCTTGACTATGTATCAGAATGGTCAAACAAATGGCAACTTCAAATCTCAACAAATAAATGCTCTGTCTTACATATTGGCAAAAAAAATCAGAAAATAAAATACAAGCTGAATAGTCAAGATCTTGTTGATGACCCAAGCTCTGTAAAGGACCTTGGAATACTCACCTCTAATGATCTAAGTGCTAGAGCCCACTGCAACTACATAGCCAAAAAGGCATTAAGAGTTGTTAACCTAATCCTACGTAGCTTTTTCTCTGGTAATATCACACTACTAACCAGAGCATACAAAACATTTGCTAGACCAATACTCGAATACAGTTCATCAGTCTGGAACCCATATTACATATCTGATATTAGCACAATTGAGAAAGTCCAGAAATATTTCACAAGAAGAGTTCTCCACTCCTCTACTCATTGTAGAATACCTTATGCCACCAGACTTGAAATTCTAGAACTAGAAAACCTTGAATTACGCCGTCTTTGGTCTGATTTAAGCATGGTATATAAAATCATACATTGCAATGTCCTACCTGTCAATGAATACTTCAGCTTCAACCATAACAACACAAGAGCACACAATAGATACAAACTCAAAGTTAACCGCACCAAACTTGATTGCAGGAAATACGACTTCAGCAATAGAGTGGTCAATGTCTGGAATACTCTACCCGACTCTGTAGTT